CATCTTATAGGGTTTTTATGAAAACCTATGAGATGGCAGTGAAGGCCGCTAAGAAGTCCTACTTCTCAGCCTCCATTGCATCCGCCAGCTCTCGCCCGGTGCAATTATTTAGTATAATTCGGTCTTTAACGTCCCTCGAAGGACAGCCAAATTTAACACACAATTTGACACACAGCTGTGAGGCATTTGCGAGCTTTTTTGCGGAGAAGGTCCTGTTGCTCCGCCATGACCTCCCCGCCAATTTCGATACAATAAAGGAACTGGAGGCCCCTCGACTGTCCTCGGGTCCAGTATTGGACCACTTTGACCGGATATCCCCAGCCGATGTGGACAGACTCCTCCAAGCTGGAAAGCCCACCACTTGTCCTCTCGACCCGTGCCCGTCCTGGCTGATTAGAGCGTGTCCAGACGAGGTGCGGGCCCCCCTGGGGGATATCATCAATTTGTCCCTTGGCACCGGGACATTCCCAGGGGAACTGAAGGAGGCAGTGGTGCGCCCGCTTTTAAAGAAAACATCATTAGATCCCTTAGATCTATCCAATTACCGCCCGGTTTCGAATCTTCCATTCCTGGGTAAGGTGATTGAGAGAGCGGTTGCGGAACAGCTTGGTAGGTTTCTGGATGAAACACTGGCTCTGGATCCATTCCAGTCCGGCTTCCGCGCTGGTCATGGGACCGAGACGGCTCTGGTCGCCTTAACAGATGATCTCCGTAGGCAGCTGGATCGAGGCGGGTCGGGGCTGCTGATTCTTCTAGACCTGTCAGCAGCCTTCGACATGGTCGATCACGAACTCCTGGACCACCGCCTTGCCGACGTGGGGATCCAGGGCACAGCCCTTCAATGGCTGCGCTCGTTTCTCTCTGGTCGGGGACAGAGGGTGGCGCTTGGGGGGGAATTGTCATCCCGCCACTCCTTGGTGTGTGGAGTGCCTCAGGGTACGATTCTCTCCCCGATGCTTTTTAACATCTTTATGCGCCCCCTTGCCCAGCTTGTCCAGAGTTTTGGGCTGGGCTGCCATCAGTATGCTGATGACACCCAACTCTATCTGTTGATGGATGGCCATCCTGACTCGGCCCCAGACACACTGATCAGATGCTTGGAAGCTGTGGCTGGATGGTTACGTGGGAGCCGGTTGAAGTTAAATCCTTCGAAGACAGAGGTCCTCTGGCTGGGACAGGACGATATGAGATTGAGGGGGCAACTCCCTTCTCTTGCGGGGGTGCAATTAATGCCAGCACCATCCGTTAAGAGTTTGGGTGTAATCTTCGATACCTCCCTCTCCATGGAGGCGCAGATTGCAGCTATAACAAAGGCGGCATTTTTTTCATCTCCGCCAGGCTAAGCAGTTGGCCCCTTACCTCTCTCGCCCTGACCTAGCCACTGTGATCCACGCGACGGTCACCTCCAGACTGGATTATTGTAACTCGCTCTACGTGGGGCTGCCCTTGAGACTGACCCAGAAACTCCAGCGGGTGCAGAATGCCGCAGCGAGACTCCTTACGGGGTCTTCGCTGCGAGATCACATTCATCCGGTGCTATACCAGCTGCACTGGCTCCCGGTGGAGTACAGGATCAGGTTTAAGGTGCTGGTTTTAACCTTCAAAGCCCTATACGGCCTAGGACCCTCGTACCTACGGGACCGCCTCTCCTGGTATGCCCCACAGAGGAACTTACGGTCCTCAAATAAAAACATCTTGAAGGTCCCAGGCCACAGAGAGGTTAGGCTGGCCTCAACTAGAGCCAGGGCTTTTTCGGCTGCGGCTCCAACCTGGTGGAACGCCCTGTCGCAAGAGACAAGGGCCCTGCAGGACTTGACATCTTTTCGCAGGGCCTGTAAGACAGAGCTGTTCCACCAGGCCTTTGGTCAGGGCGCAGCCTGACTCCCTCCTTTGGCAATCTCTACAAAGCTTTAGTCTATGGTTGCCATCAATTTGTATTTTAATTAATTTTTAGAATGTATTTATAATGTTGTACTGTTTTAGTGTTGTTAGCCGCCCTAAGCCCGGCTTCGGCTGGGGAGGGCGGGATATAAATAAAATTTATTATTATTATTATTATTAGCCCAAAAATGGAAAAAGAGCGAAGTCCCAACCAAAGAAGAATGGCTACTCCTGTTGACAGAATATGCACAACTCACAGACTTAACATATAGAATAAGAGAACAAGAAGAACATACGTTTAAAGAAGATTGGAAAACGTTTATTGAATATATGGGAAATAATTGCATACAGCTGAAAACGCTTGCAGCATTAAGATAAATTCAACAGTGTAAACAAGTTTTGATGGATGCAATAATGGAATACTGAATGGTATAGTTTTGTAAAATATGCAGGGATTTATGATATGAAAAATGAGCCATGGAAAGAGAAGACGGGAAGTCATTGATACCTTAAGGATGTAAAATGAGTATTTTAAACTGTAAAACAGAAAATATAATAAAAACTTTACATGTTTTTATTTTATAAAAAATAAAAACGCCAGGTAAGGGGCCTAGCATCAGCAACACTGGGGAGGCTCCCAAAAGCTGGGCGTGGGGAGGCAACACACACACACAAACACACACTGGTCACACAAACAAAGGAAGTGGCACTCTGCACCCCCAATAAGATGACGAGTGAGACCTCGTCGAAACGTCGCCTAGACACCCCAACTTTTACACGGGAAGACACCCGAGGACACCAAAACCTGCATTCCTGTACCCGTGAAAATCTACGAAAGCATATATATATATATATATATATATATAAATAAAAGATGGCTTTTACATCTCAAGGCAGCGTTTGATTTATTTAAAAAAGTACAGTGGTACCTCAGGTTAAGTACTTAATTTGTTCCGGAGGTCCGTACTTAACCTGAAACTGTTCTTAACCTGAAGCACCACTTTAGCTAATGGGGCCTCCTGCTGCTGCCGCGCCACCGGAGCCCGATTTCTGTTCTTATCCTGAAGCAAAGTTCTTAACCTGAAGCACTATTTCTGGGTTAGCGAAGTCTGTAACCTGAAGCGTCTGTAACCTGAGGTACCACTGTAATGCAAGTTCAAAAAAAGCACAAAGATAAATGGGTCCACCTCAGCCCTTCCCAACATCTCCCCCACTCCTTCGCTTCCTTTAGCCCCGCAAGTCCACCTCCGTTCCAGCCAGGATGGTGGGAAACCCAACACCTCCCCCAGGCCACCCAGGTGAGACGCCAGGTAAGGGGCCTAGCATCAGCAACACTGGGGAGGCTCCCAAAAGCTGGGCGTGGGGAGGCAACACACACACACACAAACACACACTGGTCACACAAACAAAGGAAGTGGCACTCTGCACCCCCACACAGCACTTTCGGTCACACTCTTGCGTGAGCCGTTATCGCTCAATTCCACGATACTTGCGTAGCATAAATTCCTACTACTCTGCGCCCTTGTTGGGGTTGGTCTGTTTAATAAGAAAGGCGGAACCTGCAGATAACCAAGAAAAAAACTTCTGCTGGGTTCACCAGCTGAGGGGGTGAGTCACATCCAGAGGCTTGAGAAAAACCGCAGACTTCTCTTTGGGTCAAGCAAGAGAGCCATTTGACCAGCAGAGGGCACTCTGTGAACTTGGGCGGCTGCTTTTCATTTCAGCTAAGGGATGCTGTCGTGCTAGGATGCAGATTTCACGTCCTGCCGGTTTTGGTGCTTGCTGCTATTGTTCCTGTATAGCTGTCGTTATAAATACATGTATTTTAAAAAATTACTAGGCCCATGCCACACTCACATCTTATGTGAAAGGGTCAGTGGTACCATATTTTTCGCTCTATAGGACGCACCCGACCATAGGACACACCTTGTTTCAGAGGGGGAGAACAAGAAAAAAATAAATCTCCCCCTCTCTGCTCTGCGCCCCGTCAGCAAAGCGGCAGGAGAAACGGAGCCCCTTCCATTTCTCCTCCCACTTGGCTAAAGGGGTGCTGCACAGCTCTCCCTCTCTGCTGAAGCCAGGAGAGTCTTGCTCTCCCGGCTTCAGCAAAAGGAACCCGAAGCCTGTGGAGCGCAGCGGGAACTCGCGCTGCGCTCCAAAGGCTTCGGTCAGCCATCCCTGAAGCCTCCGGAGCACGGAGGGAGCACTCCCTCTGCGCTTCGGAGGCTTCGCGTTGCTATCGCTGATGCCAAGGAGCCTGCATTCACTCCATAGGACGCACACACATTTTCCCTTAATTTTTAGAGGGGGAAAAGTGCGTCCTATAGAGCGAAAAATACGGTACATAAAGAGATATCCGTCTCCACGAGCTTTCACTTTTTTTCTTTCTTTTTTTACGCCCATCAGCTCACCGAAGAAAGAATTCGGCATTCGCTTCTTCTATCCTCTCTCACCCTGTTATGAATCTACACTAAAAGGGAATTGACTGCATGTGAAAAATGACAGCAGAACGTCTCACGCAGGTCAGGAGGCTTTTGTCATATAGTTGGAAGGGATCCCTAGGGTCAAAGTATTTTAATACGGTACTTTGTTGGAAGCCGCCCAGGGTGGCTGGGGAGACCCAGCCAGATGGGCGGGGTATAAATAATAAATTATTTTATTATTATTATTATTATTATTATTATTATTATTATTATTATTAATATCATCTAGTCCAACCCTCTGCAATGCGCGAATCTTTTGCCCCACATGGGGCTTGAACCCAATCTTCTGTAAGAAAGCAACTCTCTGACTCATTATCCCTATCAGTGTATCACCAGTAATAATCCTGTTACAGTGGTACCTCGGGTTAAGTACTTAATTTGTTCCGGAGGTCCGTTCTTAACCTGAAACTGTTCTTAACCTGAAGCACCACTTTAGCTAATGGGGCCTCCTGCTGCTGCTGCGCTGCCGGAGCACAATTTCTGTCCTGAAGCAAAGTTCTTAACCCAAGGTACTATTTCTGGGTTAGCGGAGTCTGTAACCTGAAGCGTATGTAACCTGAAGCGTATGTAACTCGAGGTACCACTGTATTGGGCCTCAGATTGACTTGTAACTCCTTTAATTTTTCCTCTAGATGCCCTTTCCGGAAGAGGAAACACCATTCCAGGGATATGTTTTTTTAACCGCTTGTGGTTATCTATTTAAGCATGCATATAAGATCACTCAGGAACTGATCTTCAAGAGGGAGTGCAACAAAGCGTTAGACGGGGCTCAGGGTTAAGTGGGTGACTCGGGGGCCAGAAAGAGTCTGCCTCGCACGGTTGTCATGGCGATGAAATGGGACCAATTCCACAAAAGTCACCTTGAGCTTCTCAGGCGGGATTATAATGTAAGAAACGGGAGGATAATTGGCATCATCGCCTTTGTGAGAAAGTCAGGTGTCAATCTGAATTCAAACCTCAGGTCCTTAATCCACTTACTTTGCTGAAGGAACGCAGACCAGCCCTCCCCTAAGCGAGTCTTGAAGGGACAAAGACGAATGAGGTAGGAGGATGACTTAAAAGTCATTGACTCATTCAACTATCAAGAGCCCATTGTGTGGAATCCTCCAGCTCAAGGCTGCTTGGAAGGTGATAAAAACCTCCAGTTATCCGATGGCGTTTGTTCCCATCTTTGTCCTTTGTTTATCTCGACGCAAACTTGCTTGCATTTGATTAGGAGGCCTTGTAACGGCACAGGATCAGTGCCCTGATCAGTGCCCTCAGTGGGGGCTACACTGTGAAGGCAAGTAGCGGATGTGGCTTAAAGAATTATACTGCCCTAAAGCGTTGGTGAGACCTTTAAAGCCCTAAATGACCTGAAGGAGCGTCTCCATCCCTGCTGTTCAGCCTGGACACTGAGGTCCAGCTCCGGGGGCCTTCTGGAGGTTCCCTCACAGCAAGATGTGAAGCTACAGGGGAACCGGGCAGAGGGCCTTCTCGGTAGTGGAACGAATGCCCTTCCATCAGATGTCCAACAGATAAACATGACTTGTAGGAGACATCTGTAGGCAACCCTGTATAGGGAACTTTGATGTTTTATGATGCTTTTATATTTGCTGGAAGCCACCCAGAGTGGCTGGGAGCAACCCAGTCAGATGAATGGGGTACAAATAATAAAGTTATTATTATGATATTATTGGGCTAGGTAGCCCAATGGTCTGAAACAGTGTAAGGCAACTTTCTCCGTACGTCCATTTGGCTACTGTGGGATAGCAGGCGGCTCGCCTGGCCTAGCAACACAGGTCCAGTATACCTGAAGGAGCGTCTCCACCTCCATCGTACTGCCCAGACACTGAGATCCAGCGCCGATGGCCTTCTGGCGGTTCCCTCACTGCAAGAAGCCAAGTTACAGAGAACCAGGCAGAGGGCCTTCTTGGTAGTGGCACCCGCCCTGTGGAACGCCCTCCCACCAGATGTCAAAGAGAAAAACTACTACCAGACTTTTAGAAGGCATCTGAAGGCAGCCCTGTTTAGGGAAGCCTTTTAATGTTTAACAGGCTACTGTATTTTAATACTTTGTTGGAAGCCGCCCAGAGTGGCTGGGGAAACCCAGCCAGATGGGCGAGGTATAAATAAATTATTATTATTATTATTATTATTATTATTATTATTATTATTATTATTATTATTATTAACCTCTCCATTCTCTATCTAGATGGCTGCTTATAAAGCAGTGTTGGATTTCTATACAAGGAGCAAAATGGCTTGCCTGCTCAGTCTTCACCTGCCAAGAAGGTAAGCTCTTCAGCTCATCTGCCAGCTCTGCAAGCACTCGTTGCAAAATGGTCCACAACAAGAAATAAATACCATTATTTCTACTAGTTATTTCTACCATTTCATCCTCCCCCGTTTCTAGGACAAGCCTAGAAGAGACTGTCCTGCCAAGGGCCATCAAGCAAGTTTTGATCAGCAGCAGGACTTGAACTCGGGACTTCCTGGTTCAGCGCTCGATCCCTTGGTTACCACATTACAATGCCATAGCCTTTCCCAGATGCATATCTTTTGGGCAGTGCTGGCTGGAGCTGATGGGAGTTGTAGCCCAAAGATCTGGAAGGACTTTGGAACCTGGAAACTTATCCGACTTCCCTGGACAGTTTGAAGGCTACAGGAGGACCAGAAAGCAGCAGCACTTCATAGATAAGGACAGATGACCTTGCCAAACCCCAGCGCTCATAACCAAGGATCACCTCTTTTACATCTTTACTTGAAAGTTCTTGCCATATTCACTTATTCTTCCACCGTCTGCCTTCTGCTAATTTAAAAGCGCAGGCAATGCCTGTTCTTTCAGTTAATAACATGTTAAAATACATAATCGCCTGACAATGTATTTTCACAATTCAAAAGATACCTCTCATGCCGTCTTCAGACATGCTATTAAAACCCTTTTTTGTTTGTTCTGCCAGACTTTTTTTAAAGAAACAATTAAGTCTTATTTGCCTCTCTGCCAGCTGCTCTGTTTTGAAATTCTTTCATGCCAAGTCTTTTGAATTTGTTTTTATTGCCTGTGTTGTAAGATGCCTTGGAAATAATCTTATTCTGAAAGGAGGCTGGATGGGAATTAAACAAAGGCGAACAACTCTGCCAGCAGCGTGGCTGCAAGAGGCAAAATGACAGGGCATTGTTAGCATTGGCCCCTGAGGTCCCTTCCAACTCTACAATTCTCTGATTATATGAGGTTCTCGCCCTACAGTGCCTTAATACTCCTGTGCAATAGAGGCAAGATGTCGCCATTCCCTGCTCAAAGATTGAACTACTGACATTGCTAGCAACTCCCATTAACTAGGTTGTGTGGTTTTTTTTAATTTTAATTTACGTTTTTAGGCTTTGGGGGAATTTTTAAAGCATTTATACAGTGGTGCCCCGCAAGACGAATGCCTCGCAAGACGAAAAACTCGCTAGACGAAAGGGTTTTCCATTTTTTGAGTCGTTCCGCAAGACGAATTTCCCTATGGGCTTGCTTCGCAAGACGAAACGTCTTGCGAGTTCTTCCGAGTTTGTTTCCTTTTTCTTAAAGCCGCTAAGCCGCTAATAGCCGCTAAGCCATTAATAGCCGTGCTTCGCAAGACGAAAAAACCGCAAGACGAAGAGACTCGCAGAACGGATTAATTTCGTCTTGCGAGGCACCACTGTATTTTTTAAAAAATCACCCTACTTGCCGTATGTCCGGGTTTCCCCAGACATTTTGCCAATTCAGGGGGAAAAACAACAATGCCCGGATGCCATTTTGCAGCCCGAAGCCCAGATGCATCGGGGAAAACCCAGAGGTATGGCAGCCCTGCATTAAGAAAACTTTGGGCAAGGCCAGAGATGCAACGGCAGAACATCTGCTTTGCATGCAGAAGGAGGTCCCAGTTTCAGTTCTACGCATCTCCAGGTGGTGATGAGAATGTCCCTTGCCCAACGCCCCATCCCCTGACTTAAGGGATTCCTAACGATTCTCACATGTGCCCCCCTTTCTGGGGTTTCAACAGGTGTTGCTAACACATTTTCAACCCTGTTAATGGGGCCTTAAGAACTGGAAGTCAAAGATCACCCCTTGCTGGATCACAACTAAGGTCTACCTAGTCCAGCAAGCTGTCGTTGTTCTTGGCCGGCCAGGAGCTTCCAAGAAGGTCACAAGCAGGTTGCGAGACCCCAGCCAACCACCCTCTTACTTTGCCCAAGGGAATCTATGCATATAAACGAGCAGGCGCAAATCTGCGACACGGATCAGTGGCCGGGTGTTGCCCTGGTGTAGCAATTACGTAAACAGGCCACCTTTCATGGCATGGCAGCACCTAGCCACTATGGTGCTACATCTTCTAAATCCATAGTCTTCAACCGTTTCAAACCTGGGACCCACCTCTAACTCAATCATGCATTTGGAGATGCCTTTCTTAACATTTTGTTTTAACATATTTGCCTATGGCGGTAGTGCTGCTGTTGCAACCCACCACAGGCCAGGCCATTTCAATTACCGTATATACTCGAGTATAAGCCGACCCGAATATAAGCCGAGGCACCTAATTTTAGCACACAAAACTGGGAAAACTTATTGACTCAAGTATAAGCCGGTTCACCACACCACAAACCTGGTGGTGACGGCAGCAGCGGAGGAAGAACAAGCAGTCCAAAAGGGCTCCTTTCGGGCCACTTGTCCCTCCACCGCTGCCTCTGTCGCTCGCAAGAGCAGGCATAGGAACCGCGGTTGGGAGAGGAACAGCGCAGCGCAGTGCCTCTTCCAACCGCGGCTCCTTTGCCTGCCCTTGCGAGAGGTGGGTGGCGAGAGGTGGGTGGCAGCAGGACCACCAGCAAGAAAGGGCATTTCAGGCCATTCGTCCCGCTCCCGCTGCCTCACTCAAGTATAAGCCAAGGGGGGCTTTTTTCAGCATAAAAAATGTGCTGAAAACATCGGCTTATACTTGAGTATATACAGCATGTTATTTGTTTATTCAATTTGTCAGTTGCTTTATCTCACCCGGGGCAGCCCAACACAACTTACAAACCAACCAACAAGCAATAGACTCATAGAATTATAGAGTTGGAAGGGACCGCAATTGAAATCTGGTCCAACCCCTCTCAATGCAGGAATCCTGCACACAGCCGTCTCTGGGGGTGGGGCTCAAACCGCCAACCTTCTGGTTAACAACCAGACGCGCTGACCCATTGCACCACACTAGACCCCACATGCCCCAGTACTAGGTCCCCACCCACCTGCCGAAGACCAATGCTCTAGATCAGGCATGCGTTCCAGATCCAGGAACATGCTTTTAACATGCATTTGGGGACCCGTCCCTTAATCTTCCACCCTATATTTGCATGCTAGGAGTCCTCCATTGCTCACGGAAGCTGTTTCGGGAAATTCTGCAACTCAAGGAAGAAGGTTGCTGGGTTAAACCATTTTTGTTCCCTGCGAGTCAACCAGTGAGAAAAGCCACCTCCTCCAGTGGCTTTTGCCAGATCACTCCCACAGTCCATGGGTGGTTAGGGAACTAAGTTATACTGAGAGCAGATCCATTGAAATGAATGGGCCCAAGTCTGTGAATAGCACGAACACAGCACAGCTCCACGCCTAGAGGAACATCGACAATCCACCTTTGACAGAGAGTCGTGAAGAATTAATAGACGCCATAGAGCCTAGGACTTGCCGATCAGAAGGTCGGTGGTTCGAATCCCCGTGACGAGGTGAGCTCCCATTGCTCGGTCCCTGCTCCTGCCAACCTAGCAGTTCGAAAGCACGTCAAAGTGCAAGTAGATAAAGAGGTACCGCTCCGGCGGGAAGGCAAACAGCGTTTCCGTGCGCTGCTCTGGTTCACCAGAAGCAGCTTAGTCATGCTGGCCACATGACCCGGAAGCTGTACGCCAGCTCCCTCGGCCAATAAAGCGAGATGAGCGCCGCAACCCCAGAGTTGGCCACGACTGGACCTAATGGTCAGGGGTCCCTTTGAAGGTTTAACCTTTAAAGGTTTTTTAAAAAGGCTAATCCTTTATCTCTGTTATCGTTATAAACATATGCAAAACCCAAGAGCTAAATGCAACCTAGGAGAGCCTAGCCAAGTTGGAAAAGGAGAAACAAGATCCCTGCATTGCCTTGCGGACTCTTATTCACTTATTAGGAAATCATTTACCTCTATTGTAGGGTCGTATTCATCTACGAAATGGTTCTGAATCAGCTGTATCGTCAGCGCACTCTTGCCCACGCCACCAGCTCCAACCACGACCAGCTTGTATTCCGTCATCTTCTGTAGGCCTGTTGAAGATGAAGCAGAAATATCAGTTTTATTCAATGGAGCACTGGAGGCCCTTTTGGCTACAGGTAACTCTTCTCGTTGCCTTTATTCGCAGGTCCAAAGACACAGAAACCACAAGAAATGGACGCTGCCGTCAAATAAGCAAAGGTTTGCATGGCTTCGTTTTCCAAATCCAACGTCGGAAATGGCAATATTCCAGAAACCAGGAGGGCATCTCGGTAGACCAGGACACTCTCCAACCAACCTTGCATTTAACCACCCTAGAACAAAATAACTTCAAAAGGAAACACCAGGGGACTGAACTGCAATTCATCAGGCAGTTATGAATTATGTCAGCTGGGTCTTGAATCGAGACTGTGGATTTTTGAGTGCACTCCTTACACCACCGATGCTGGGATGTTTCTTTCGTCACCTTGTTTAATTGCCCATTGCAATTATTTCGCTTTTAGGGTTGTACAGTAGGGATGGGCAATATCTGGTTTTCAACATCACAATATATCACCAACTAAACATTGCGATATACTGATATATCACCAAGTCTGAAATAAGGCATTGGCCAGCTTCACGGTTTTACCTGCATCGTGATTTTTGCAAAGCACACAAACACACACACCATGATTCACGATATATTGCCAGGTCAAAAATTATGAAACTGATATTACAATATGGACTTGAAACCAGTTTTGGACGATTTATCGACATATCGTCCATCCGTATTGTACAGCTAAGCTGATCACTGACTGGACTTTTTGCATTTCAGGTATTTCCGATACCCTCACACACGCCATCCTGCTCCCAGTCTCATGTATCTGAACGCAAGAGTGGTTCACCTAGTGGGGTGAAGCCACAGCAATGGCCTCCTGCACCTGCCAGGAGGGTCGAAGCGGCAGCAAGGTCCGGGTTACGCCAGCACACCGTGAAAACGTGTCTGGCACTCGCACCAATGCAGCTGCAAAGGCCTGACTCTGCCGCTCCCTCAGTCCTGCCAAACCGCAGCCATGCCCCAGCAGGAGGCGACTGGTGGTTTCCACCACATGGGGCAACCTGCTCTTCCCTGCAGTCCAAGAAAGATTGGGTCGCATTTAATAGAATCATAAAATGATAGAGTTTGAAGGGACCCTGAGGATCCTCTAGTCCAACCCTTCAGCAATGCAGGAATATGCAGCTGTCCCATATTTGTTAGTCTTCAGGGAGCCACGAAGCTCTTTGCTATTCTTTTTACTATAAACGGCTAAGGTATTTCTCACGTAATTAGAGTAAATAAATACGGAACAGAATTCCAGACCAAAGGGCTCACTAAACTCAACTATCATTCATTTAGCTCAGCCAGTAAAGCATGAAATTCACAATGCAAAATTAGAATATTCAGAGCATGCACATACATGGCACGTTCTGTACATACAGTGGCACCTTGGTTTACATACGCTTCAGGTTACATACGCTTCAGGTTACAGACTCTGCTAACCCAGAAATAGTACCTCAGGTTAAGAACTTTGCTTCAGGATGAAAACAGAAATCGTGCTCTGGCGGTGTGGTGGTGGCAGGAGGCCCCATTAGCTAAAGTGGTGCTTCAGGTTAAGAACAGTTTCAGATTAAGAATGGACCTCCGGAACGAATTTAGTACTTAACCCGAGGTACCACTGTATGACCAGCAGCGTTCAAAAGCATGTTTGCCACACAGCCTTACATACTATGGCAAGGTGTACTGCATGGCATTTAAATGATGCCTAAATCCAAACCTGTACATATAAATCGGCACATTCAAATATTACATGATTATGTGCACTCACATCCCTTTTTTGGGGGGAGATGCCAAGTGGCTGCCATGAATGTACCCTGGCGTCAGATTCCCCTTCCTCAGGAGATAAAGTCAAGGACTTTTTGAATCAGAAGATTTAAGGGAGGGAGACAGCGAGCAACCTTCTGTCTCCCCAACCCCAAGTCCCATTGACATTTTATTTTATTTTGGAATGGCTTAAAGCAGGCATGGGCAAACTCGGCCCTCCAGATGTTTTGGGACTACAACCCCCATCATCCCTGACTACTGGTCCTGTTAACTAGGGATGATGGGAGTTGTAGTCCCAAAACATCTGGAGGGCCGAGTTTGCCTATGCCTGGCTTAAAGTTACAAGAAAGGAGATTCTTAATAAACATCAGGAAGAACTTTCTGACAGTAAGAGCTGTTTGACAGTGGAACGGACTCCCTTGGAAGGTGGTGTTCTCTCCTTCCTTGGAGGTTTTTAAGCAGAGGTTGGGTGACCATCTGTCAGGGATGCTTTTGTTGAGATTCCTGCATTGCAGGGGGTTGGACTAGATGACCCTTGGAGTCCCTTCCAACTCTACAATTCTATTATTCTATGTCATCAGGTGCCAGAAGCAGAGGCATTTGTTGTACAGTAAGCCTGCAGCTTGGGAGAAAAGCAATGACAAACCTAGACAGGATCTTAAAAAGCAGAGACATCACCTTGCCAACAAAGGTCCGTATAGTTAAAGCTATGGTTTTCCCAGTAGTGATGTATGGAAGTGAGAGCTGGACCATAAAGAAGGCTGATCGCCAAAGAATGGATGCTTTTGAATTCTGGTTCTGGAGGAGACTCTTGAGAGTCCCATGGACTGCAAGAAGATCAAACCTTTCCATTCTTAAGAAAATCAGCCCTGAGTGCTCACTGGAAGGACAGATCCTGAAGCTGAGGCTCCAATACTTTGGCCACCTCATGAGAAGAGAAGACTCCCTGGAAAAGACCCTGATGTTGGGAAAGATGGAGGGCACAAGGAGAAGGGGACGACAGAGGACAAGATGGTTGGATAGTGTTCTTGAAGCTACGAACATGAGTTTGACCAAACTGCGGGAGGCAGTGGAAGACAGGAGTGCCTGGCGTGCTCTGGTCCATGGGGTCACAAAGAGTCGGATACAACTAAACGACTAAACAACAACAACAACAACAAGCCTGCAGCTTACGCAGGGGCTGTATTCCAGGGATCACACCTTAAGCCAAAATCGCTTATTATCAAAACACAATGGGTTCAATGGCAGGTGGGGTTGCCAAAGTCAATTTTCCTGGATCCCTGCCCGGTTTTCCAATACCCTTTTTTAAAAAAAATTGCTATGCGCGTAAAGCTGAATGCACACAGGTTAAATGTTCATAAGTTGTGGGCTTGCCATACTGAGAGCATTGGCCAGAAGCACAGCCCCTGGCAACATGCCTCGAAAGCGACAGAAATTAACTAAAGACAGCTCCACCATGGCCTATGTGAGTAAGAGGGATCTGAACCATGGTTTCCTGATTCCAAGGCCAGTGTACTCACCGAATCAGGTTCAGGAATCACTTTAGAGCTATTTACATACCTAATAATGCTCTGAGGAGGAATTAAAGAACCTTTTAATGAGGGTGAAAGAGGAGAGCGCAAAATATGGTTTGAAGCTCAACATCAAAAAAACAAAAATCATGGCTACTGGGCCCATCACCTCCTGGCAAATAGAAGGGGAAGAAATGGAGGCAGTGAAAGATTTTACTTTCTTGGGCTCCATGATCACTGCTGTTGGTGACAGCAGTCATGAAATTTAAAGACGCCTGCTTCTTGGGAGAAAAGCAATGACAAACCTAGACAGCATCTTAAAAAGCAGAGACATCACCTTGCCAACAAAGGTCCGTAAAGTTAAAGCTATGGTTTTCCTAGTAGTGATGTATGGAAGTGAAAGCTGGACCATAAAGAAGGCTGATCGCCAAAGAATTGATGCTTTTGAATTATGGTGCTAGAGGAGACTCTTGAGAGTCCCATGGACTGCAAGAAGATCAAACCGATCCATTCTGAAGGAAATCAGCCCTGAGTGCTCACTGGAAGGACAGATCCTGAAGCTAAGACTCCAATACTTGGGCCACCTCATGAGAAGAGAAGACTCCCTGGAAAGGACCCTGATGTTGGGAAAGATTGAGGGCCCAAGGAGAAGGGGACGACAGAGCGACGAGATGGTTGGACAGTGTTCTTGAAGCTACCAGCATGAGTTTGACCAAACTGCGGGAGGCAGTGGAAGACAGGAGTGCCTGGTGTGCTCTGGTCCATGGGGTCACGAAGAGTTGGACACAACTAAATGACTAAACAACAACAAAATAATGCTGTATATCACTTTACACTCAAAAAGATTCCACAGCAATTTATAGTAAATCAGACCACCACCACCAACACAATTAAAACACAATTTTCAAAAATTATCACCGACACACACACACACACACACACACACACAAACTGCTATCAAGTTACTTGACTTTTTATCATGAACACTTGAATGTCAAATGTCTTATCAGTAAAAAATGTGTTTACTCTGATGGCACCGGCAAAACCTATTTTTAAATTTACGACTTCAAACAATATTATTGTAGGGCTGCTGTTGGCTGTCATGTTCTCTCCTATTAAAGTCCGTTTTTATCTAGTTAGGTAATTTATGAGCCAATATATACCAAAGAGGGACTTTTATTGTACTTTGAACTTGAGAAACACATCATTATCATAATGCAGCGCCTGCTGAAATTAAATGAAACTCACAAGTTCCATATTACTTGGTTTAGACGCTAATCTAACAGAGAAAAACATCCTATTTTCTTTCTTCATCAGACTGATAAAACTTACTCAGCAAAGAACTTTTAATAAATTCGTAACAGATTACGTGACGTAGGTTAGGCGGAAACACACTGCGGCTGCCGCTTCCCCAAAGCCAATTTGGGATAAACTGGGATTAGAGTCAATGTTTCTCACTTCCAAACCTGAAGATACCAGCCAAGTGCTTTTCAGTTTTTCAGCCTTCAAGGAACTGTTTCTGCTTTGGACTTGCCTGCCAGATAAAACTCTTGATGGAACCTCTGCAAGTTGCAGAGAATTCAGGCGCATGTTGCAAGGTGTGCAGCCAGCTCACCTGTGCACTAAGCAGACCTGCTGAGCCTCAGCTTGACCTCTGTGCATGGACAACATGGCCCCAATACAACCCTATACAGTGGTACCT